AGAATGTGAATGACACATTAATAAAAGACTGAATGGGGTACATTAACTGAATAAAAAGACCTGCATGGGCAATACCGTTTGTTGATAGTCAAAGAAACAATTTGACATTTTTACTACTTTTAGTTCCGTTCTTACACCTATTTAAAAAACAGGGTCTATAAAAAATTCGTTAAAGCTATATATATCCCGAATTTCCATATTATTTCCCTACACTGGAAGTAGCAAAACCGGACGACAAAAAAGATTGCAGAGGAATTTTTTTATTGATTTCAACGTCAAATTCGCATGGTTGTTAAAAATCGTATTCTCGAAAATGAGTGATTCTAAAATCACAAGCGAGAAATAATGCGAAGGGTTTTATGTGGCAACGTAGCAAATTATGTCATCTGTCAACATTAGTGGATGTTCTGTTTGTTTATTTATTAGAGCCCCTCTATGCTAAGAAATTTAGACAATTTTGAAGCAAATAGTAGAATGTCTTTTTTTTTCTATAAATATGGAAGAGCACGAAATATTAAAATATGTCACGAAAACATCCTGCTGATACTCTACTTGGGGGCGTTATAACATGCTAGTTACAATATATATCAAGAGCCGCGTTGATTCCTTAGACAGCGTTACTCAAAGTGTGCCCCGCGGAGCCGCGAGGCTTCGCAAAGTTTTTGTGGGGGCTCCGCAAAGCCTTTGTGGGGGCTCCGCGAATAAAATAATAGTTATATTAAAAAAAAAAACAAGAAGCCGTACTACCGCCACAAAAGGGAGGGACCTGGCTTCAGGACTTTTTTTTTAGAAATGTGTTTAGGGCTCCGTTAAATATTTCGCTTTTCAAAAAGGTTGTGTCGCCAAAAAAGTTTGAGAAACACGAAACACTTCCTTATAAAGTCGAAAATGCTTGATAAATAACACATTAATTCAAAAGGGATTTTTATAAACAAACTTGTTCCTTCTATGCTGTCACTCTTTAATAATGTTTTGATTATCAACAGCTAGCAAATGTTAATTTTATCAAAATCTGCCACATTCATGTTTACGCTCCACAAAGTCGCATACGAATTTAAATTCGAGCACTTTAGACCACTCGTGTGTTGAATTCACCTGACATTTGTCGTATGCTATTTTCGAGAATACACTTTTTTAAAATCGAGGTATTTGACATTTGAGACTACTACCCCTGGGGTTTTCTAAAATCCCGGCGTCATAGGTTAAAAAGCACCCCTTAAAGATTATTATTTTTTATGAGGAAACGGCGATTTGTGCCACAAGTGGTATTTAATCAGATACTTCACGAGCAGTGTTGTTCCTTGCTGCACAATCGTGCCAAAAGTGGCACAATTTATAGTAAAAATGCAGCGCGGCACCTCTCCCTATAAAGTGGCACTATTTGTTTTTTTTTTTCAAAAATCTTGCAGGCTTGCCGAAATAAAACATAAAGCAAAAAACAAACATACCAACACAAATCCTTCAGTATTAAATTTTGGATATAAAGATTTTGTATTATAAGTTGCCTATCCGACATTTTACGGCAACGCGAAAGACTATGTTTTCATCGACGGCCGGGTGGCAGATATTTTTTTTCTTAACCATCCTCCCGAGTCCTACCGCTTGCCGAGTCCTCACTTGCTTCGCTTGCGCGTACCTATCTTTGATTTTATTGCCAAAGTGACCATTGTCATATTTCTTATTATTGTCTCGGTCCCGTTGGAAATGTTAAAAATGCAGGAAGATATATTAATGTTTATTTAAGAAAAATATAAATAATTAAGAATAATTGGAAGTATAAATACAAAGTTAAATTATTATTCAAGTGAAATACCTAATTACAAATAGAGAATAAATTGGACATTGATAACTCACTGATGCATTGCTCGTGTGCAAGCTAATTTTTAAAACTTGTAATTATAAGTAGAATACGATATAGAATGATAAAGAAATTAATACTAAAAACAAAAAGTACCTATCTTCGTTTCTCAATTTTGTAAGCTAGGTATAGGTACAGATATAAGTAAAAATGTAGCTTTATAGGTACAGCGAAATTTGAAAAAAAACATTAAAAAGTACCCATTCTATAGACATTTCTAAAAAAATGCTGATAATCGAATATTTTCTAAGAAAAGTTGCAAAATTTTGATGTTCCTAACCTAACATTTTATAATTTTTTTACAGTTTTGCCAAGCGTTTAAGTACCTAAATGGATAAAATATGTAAATATTAACAAGAATAAAATTTTCTTAAATCGTAGAATTATTTAAAAAAATATTACAAAAAATATGAAAGAAATTTTTTTATAAATGAATCAAAATATTTATTTATGAAATAATTTAATTTAGTTACAAAATAAAATATGTATACCCATTCCTTTAATTGTAAAACAAAAATTGTCGATACACCTAAGGCAAAATGCCTATACAATTGTAACTTTAACAAAAAATTTCTTATACGTATTTTTTTTTAGAAATATACAATATGTAATCGGTACATTTTAGTGCAATCAAATTTTTTTTCTTTAATTTCGACGTAGGTACCTAAAGCGTACCGGAGCCAAAATATTGTTCTTGATTCATTCATTTACTAGCACTTTAAAAAATCTAATTTGTAGAAAGTAGAAAATTGTCAATTGAATTTTGGTAAATAGCAGCGAAAAATGGAATTTGTAAACCATACTAAAAAAAAGTAAAATACCTACGGAGGTATCAAAGTAAATTTTACATATTCCCAAAATTTTTAAAATAAAATTGTTTAATTTTGTACGAAACAAAATCATCATAAAAGTTGCTTTCTAAGTATATAATTATTTCAAACGCACAAACGCAATATGTAAGGGACTCGGCAAGCGGTAGGACTCGGGAGGATGGTTAAGAAAAAAATATCTGCGGCCGGGTGAGGCTGGTTTGTATTTCAAGTGCCTACTCGATAATTTGGATAACAACAGGCATACCAGCCTATCTATCATATCGGCTGCGTGTAGCTGCTTGTGACCTTGTGACTTGTGAGCGGCGGGGATTTACATAAGTCGTTTTATTATTTATCTTTTATCTACGCTTGGTTGCGCAGTTCTTTTGTTTTTCGTTAGCCGGTAAAATGTAAAAGTGTTTAGCTCACACAATAAGAATAATAAGAATAATAAGATGGAACAGTTCATGCAAAAGTAAGTAATAGTACCGTTATTTTTTGCTGTAGTTAGAAAAGTATGATAAAAACAGTTTTCCTGTTTTAGATATAAACCGGAAATAATTGACAAATTAGTGAAAAACCTGTTAAAACGTTCGCAGAGGTGTATTGACGTTCACGGTGTTCATTTTGAAAATCTACTTTAATTTTAATTAATTATTTGTATCTGTTAGTTTGTTCTGTTACTTTATGAAATAAAGTGAGCCCGGTCCTGTGTAGATGTTCAATTTCTTATTGGAAAATGCAGCAGTTAAAAATAAATGAAGATGGTACCTAATTTGTGTAGAGTTTTAAAAATACAGTGTAAAATATTTGATTTCAATTTTATAAATACTGATTTATAATATTGTAGTCGCCATTATAAAAATTTACTGTAAGAAAATCAAGATGGTGGCATTAAATATTATTACATTATTTTATTTATTGATCCATGTACTATTTAAATGTGCAGTGACATTTATTAAAATCTAATATACAGGGTGATATTCTAGCTAAGAAGAGCAATATAAAAAATGAGAATCCGGTCCTGGAATTTTTTTAAATTAAATTATGGTTTTGATTAAACTAGGAGAGTGTAACTTTTGTACAAAATTGTATCAAAATATCTCTAGCCGGTCAAACAAAATGGCCGATTTTAGTTTTGGTAAAAAATCATGAAACACTATATTTTAGAAACGAGTAAGATTAAAGGCTAAGTATGGGGGTGTTTTGAACTCAGGTAAGTGTACTCTACCTTCCATTAAGCTGTGTCCGTTTAAATCTGAAACACCCTGTATGAACAAAAGTTTAGCAACACTGTGCGGCACCTTCGGTAGGTAAAACGGCACGATTCCGCATGAAAAATGGCACAGTAAAAAATCTGCTTGGAACAACGCTGTTTACGAGTACATTCACTGAAAATTTCAATTTTCTAAAACCCCGGCGTCATAGGTTTAAACGCACCCCTAAATATGTATTATTTTTTACGAGAAAATTATGCGTTGTGTCATATTCTGGTTATTTGACGATTTTTCTAAAAATAACGGTATTCTAAAACCCCGGCGTCATAGGTTAAAAAGCACCCTTAAAAGATTATTATTTTTTATGAGGAAACTGCGATATGTGCCACATTCTAAGTGGTATTTAATCAGGTACTTCACGACTACATTCACTGAAAATTTCAGTTTTTTAAAACCCCGGGGTCATAGGTTTAAGAGCACCCCTAAATATGTATTTTTAACAACCATACGAATTTGGTATGCGACATTAATTTGCCGTGTGCGACAATTTTCATGCGAGACTCGAGAATTCTACCCCTGGCACCATATAATTAATTGCAGGTAAAGAACAACTTTACTTTGAATTTTATAGGTCACATGACGGCGCCCAGTGCAGGGATATATTGCCACTGATTTACAAAGAGCGGAGGAAAATGCAACATGTTACTTTTTCTAGTCTGCTGGGAGACTACTAGTTACATGGTAGGAGAGTCCATGTCCTAGCAGGTCACAGTCACATATCTAAGATCGCAAACTTGGCTGCTTAATTGGGACAAGAACGTGGATATGCAATTCACTCACAGCTCGTCTCTCCTAATTACATATAATTTGTACCAAATAAGTTACTACTTATGTCTTCGTATTATAAAAATATGTTTTGAAAAATGTACTTGAGTAAACAGAAAACAAAATACAATAAAATTTGTTTTTTTGTTTATACGAAGAAAGAAGATACTAATTTACAAAAAATAAAGTAGAAATGCTTTTAAATAACATATCTACCTACTGGTAATTATTCTGCAGTAAATCAAACAAAATCCAAAACCTCGATAATATAAATCGATCAAAACTAACCTGTAAGGAATGTCACTCAAATTGCTCTGCGAATGAGAATGAGGTACTTTCGTATCCTTGACGCCGGATATAGCAAGTTCGTGAGCAGATCCCGAGAGGCTCCTGTCACTACCCCTCCGTTTTGAAAGCGCACCGCACATGACTACGGTGCCCTGGGACGTTTGCTGCTGTTGCAGAAGTTGTTGGTTGGGCACCGTACTGGTCGATACTTTTTTCTTTGGTTGGCCAAACCCAAAAAAACTAAAAACAAAATTATGGAATGCCTATTAGTATATTTTAAAAACAATAAATAAAATCTAAATGGAAATTGTTTTAACGTTTGGATAATAATACTCAACCGAATTTGTGAATTTAGTAAATAACTAGTTGTTTGATAGTAAACGTAATAATATATTCAAAATGACAAGTTAAAAAAATATGCATCCAATTATTTACTTATTTACATGCTTTGAGCAGATTCACTCGATTATATTACTATAATAGTACATTATATACCTAGGTCCTATTATTTACCGAGCACTTTTATATTCTGAGACGCGTTCCAACCGAAATAATATATATCCATTCGTTCATAATTAAGCTATTATTTATTGCAAGCATTCAGATTGTGTTTTATATCAGGTAGACAGAGGTGCCTCAGCGGATGCCGCATTAGACATAGCAAGATGGCTTTCCATTTGAGTGGGAACGGTTTGCGTGACTTTGTTTATCTGAGGTGCGAGCACACGTTTTATAAATGAATCAGTAATAATGACGCTTATTTTACATTGTAGTCACACTTAAATTTCATACAAGGCAATCATAATTTGATTTAAGGATAGTAATACAAAAAGTAATGAGATATACAGGGAATTTCTAAATTCATGCGAGAAAATTCAGGAGGTGATTGCTCGTATAAAATTAGATGGGTCTTTACTATAACAAAATTTCCTCAGCCCATCCCTTAAAAGGTGGTGACAAAAATTGAGTTTTTAATTTTTTTCTAAAACTTTCTATAATAATTAATATTTTCAATAATTAACACATGTTTGTCTGATATTTAACTTATTGAAGAAAAAATTGAATTTGATTCATTATATTTACAATCTGAAGACATCTGATTTCACGAGGTCACCTAAAACACCCAACGGACAGAATAAAATTTACCAGCATCATTTAAAAATAAGACGAAAGCCAAAAGTTTTAAAAATGCTGCTGCTAAACAAAAACGAAACAAATGAGAAGATAGACAAAACATTAGGCAAATAACGGGGAATACTAGACATGTAAAACCCATGGAAAAAGTTATTAACTATGAAGAAGACGATGAATATATTTACTGGGACGATCCTAATGTACTCTGTAACTAACGTATCGTACACTCCGAATTATCATTCGTTTCTTGCAATAATTTTCATCAGTTTACACCAGTTTAAACCAGAAAATAGCACTTAACGAGGCGTTTTAGCCACTAATTTCGGCGAATTTTAAAAAATCAATAACAAGAGATTAAGAGCTTAAATTTGGGGATTATATTAAGAATAGTGCTGTTGAGAAATGCATTTATTTTCATTATGATATTTCAAAATTTAAAGCCCTTTGATTTTTTTTCTTGGAAACTGAAAGGACCTAAAACTTTAAAATATATGCATATTTTAGATAATATTGCCTCATTAATTTATGCAAAATTTTAATTTTTTAAAAAAATTAGTTTTTGAGATATGCTTTTTCGAAAATTATAAGGGGTGCTGTAATCACCTTAATAATTGGCGAATTTAAAAATCGCGCGTATTTGTGATAAATGACATTTCATTTGACGTCTTGTTTTCGTTTTTAAAAAGATAATTTTTCGTGGGTTCCAAAGACAATTTGGACGAGATGTCTACTCTGATAAACTTTTTAAGTGTATTTTTATTATAAAATAAGTGCTAATTATGCCGAAAGCTTGTATAGTTTGCAACAATAAATTCTTAAAAGGATTCTGGTTGATGTTTCACAAGTAAAGTATTCTATATTCCATAAACCTAACTTAAAATGGGAAATTGGTAAATGAATAAGAAACCATATTTGTAGAATGTTCTTCATTTGAGCATCACCGCAACTGGTTGCATTCGACAGAAAATAGTTGTTTTCTTTGCGATAATGCTTAATTTATGTGTTTTTGTATAATGTAAAATGGATTAGATATATTTTTGTATTGTTCAAGTATTTAGTTTGAGCATTAAAGCATTTCTAACAACACATGTCTGTGTTCAGACCATTTTCAACTGAACGTTATTATAAAGGTAGCAATAGATTAATAAACGGATCTATACTAAAAGCTGTACCTATACTTTGCTTTAGAAATGAGTAAGCTTTTTCCAAATAAACTGTAAATAATTGTAATTCGATATTCATATATGTGGCTTTCGAAACACACTTATTTGCGTATTTTGTTAAATACTAAACATATATTATTATTATTATTACATTATTGTTTACAGGCTTAAAAATAACGACAATAAAGAAAATATGCCCTTATCTGCAGTTCCCAACATTGGAAATTTCGAACATTAGAAAGACAGAAGGCTAATGAAAAGGTATGATTAGCTCTTATATTTTTAAAAACCAAATAGGTGGTGGTAATAATAGCCTTTGGAACTTTTGAAATTTAATTAAATGTATATCATTAAAATTCTGCAGAATACATTTTATGTAGATTTCTTTTGTAGGGATGAAAAGACAGGGAACTTCAATCTTTAACTCTCTTTAGAAGACAGAGAATTGTTTAAAATTTGATAAACTCATCATCTTAAACCACAACATCTGTAAGCTCCCATTCATCTACACTAACTGCTTCTGAAAGGGAAAGAGAATTAAAAAAAAAAGAAGTTGTTGAAGTAAAATAAGATATATTCTCATATAATCAATCATTATTATGATTTCAGGAAAGCAATGCTTAAGAAAAAAAAAATTAAATAGTTATTTTTTGATAGAAAATTAGCTCTTCCCCAAAAGAAGATTCTATGACAAAAAAAAATATAATTAAAAAATTTAGGAGAAATATATTTTACAAAGTAGTACATTTTTTGCCTGAAAATGTGTATGATATATCTCACGAATAAAATGTATTTTTTCTCTATTCGTCCCATTCTATAGGTAATTGGTTTTCAACTGTTAAGTGGTGACCTAAATAAATAAAGAATAAATAAATTATTGTTTATTTCATTTTTTGTTTTGTTTTATAAATAGCTTACTTCTACAGACATATATCTAGGCACAACCAATAACTATGTTTTGATTACATTGATTACTAATGTTATTATAAAACATGTACATTTAATATTATTATTATTAGTAGAAATAAATTATTATTTATTTTAATAACACTTTTAGTAGTCTTTGCAGGAATTTCCATATTTTTACTTTCCATGAATTTAAGAATGTCTTCCTTATTTGTGCTGCTATTGGGAATTTTGTTATGTAGACCGGCGCATTGTCCATAACAATAACAGAATTTGGGGAAAGATTTGGCAGCAGTTGTTCATTAAATCACATTTCAAAGAGAATGGCAGTCATATCTTCATGGTAGTCAGCAGATGACTGTTTTATATTTTTAGCTGACAATACAAGAGCATTAGGAACAAAACCATTATTACTGCCTTCATGTAGAATGATAACTCGTTTACCGTGAGAACTAGGTCCTTTTAAAGAGCACTTTTTATTGTTTATAATAATAGCCATTTTTACCAACAGATTAAATTATCCCATTACAGAATAATACTAAAAATATATAAAAATACATTATCAATGTACAATCACTCATTACAAAATGTAACTGTACACAATGACTTAAACTTAAGAATAATAAAAATAATTATAAAAGAGTATTCTCTTGAGTACAAAATCAATCATAAACTTCAAGTTGTACATTTTTATTTAATGTATTAAAGAAGAGATCACATGAATTACTTATGTTATTAATATATTAATAATTTATTCACGAAATATCAAAACATTACAAACACCAGTGCGTTAAAAAGGTGGAATAAGAACACTTGTGAAGTGTTATACAACACTTGTTTGTAAAAGAATGAGAAACATAAATTAAATTAATATATTATAAAAGTATTAAGACTAAAAACTAGTACAAACTACAAATTAAAAAATAGCTAAGTAAATGTTATATCAAAACTAACAAACAAAAAAAATAGTAACTAATTATACATTGTGTTAGTAGATGATTTTACAAGTATTAGATATTAAAAATATGAAAAACCGACTTCAAAAACGTGCAGATACCATCACATCTTAACCAAATTTATATGGGACCACCCCTGAAGTACCCCCATTCTAAGAAAAAAAGAATCATTGAAATCGGACATCGTGTTAAATAATTATCACTGAACATACATAAAAAAAAAATATTGCGACGAATTGAGAACCTCCTCCTTTTTTTGAAGTCGCTTAAAATTAGCTATGTTAAACATACAAGTGTAAATTAAAAATTAAAAAAAACCGACTTCAAAAACGTGCAGGTGCCATCACAACATCTTAACCAAATTTATATGGGATCACCCCTGAGGTACCCCCTTACTAACAAAAAAAAATCATATAAATCGGACAAGGTAGTAAAGCATTATCGCTAAACATACATAAAAAATGAAGAGTTTGAGGATTTTCTCATGGACCCAATTTTTAGATTTTAACCAAATTTATATGGGACCACCCCTGAAGTAGCCCCTTTATAACAATAAAAGAATCATATAAATCGGACAAGGTAGTAAAGCATTATCGCTAAACATACATAAAAAATGAAGAGTTTGAGGATTTTCTCATGGACACAATTTTTAAATTTTGACCAAATTTATATGGGACCACCCCTGAAGTAGCCCCTTTCTAACAAAAAAAGAATTATTGAAATCGGACACCGTGTTAAAGAATTATCGCTGAACATACATAAAATAAAAAAAAAAAAAATATCGCGACGAATTGATAACCTCCTCCTTTTTTGAAGTCGGTTAAAAAAGGACAATAATTATTCTTCATCTGTTTTAAAACATCTTGTTAAATGAAATTATGGAACATTGGAACATATTTTAGGCAAAAAATAAGATTATCAAATAATTTATGCAAACACAAAAGTGAAGTCATAAATCTTCCGCTTCCGTACTAAGAACACATGTTTTTTATATTAAACTGATTTTAGATTTATTTAAAAATATAAAAAAATATCTTGTGTAGTGCCATTATTTATCGATTCTTCACAATAATCACTCATT